AGACATTTATTGCCTTTCAATTCCGAGCCTTACCACATTGAATGCGGTCTCATCAAGGGAATGGTGTAATTAAATGTTTGCTTTCCCAAGTCGCGTGTCAGAAAGGGCATGGGTCCATCCCTCATTGGCTGTGGACCCTGCCTTCTTGTGCCTTCTGACACCAATTGTGTAAGACGAGACCATGATAGCTAACCTAGACTAGCCTAGGCTAACGACCTGTACATCAATAGCTTATACTGGAGCAGAGAAAAAGGCATCCTGGACGGGGGTACACCTCGGTACCGAGGATAGGTACATCTCGGTACCGAGGTTAGGTACATCTCGAGCCGAGGAAGCTGTACATGATGACCGAGGTACCATATCAGACCGAGGGATACGTGTCGGTTCGTAAAACGTACTTGACCACGTGTCAAGTACCTCGGGGCGAGGGAGTTTGTAAGCCGATAGTACGTGATCTCAGTAACAGGATTTTTAGCGACGCCGAGGACACGTGTCTTCAACTTGGAGTATTTCAGAAAAGTCCCATCAGTTTATAACAATATGATGTCACGCTATATGATGCATATCATTTAAATTGTGTACTAATCAAGGAATATAATTGCATATCTTTTGCCAATAATTTAAGTGTTAGTTAAGTCGTTACACTATGATGTAACACTACTATGTCATACTGATTCATATGAATTGTTGTGTATCTAACACGCAGTCATTTTATTCACACACTTGTGGTGACATAATTTTATCAATCCATATTTAGTTACTTGGACATTATCAACGATTACAGTTGAAAAAGTCAACGGATAGATGTCAATGATGCTTCAACATACTTACAATCCAATACACAAGGCAAAATATTCTTTTATTCTCACAATTTTTGATTTTTTGTATATTTGATTTGATTGAAATCTGATAAATTTTATGACAGCTTTTGTTTGAATTTTAAATACCCTATTTTGAGCAATCTCTTTGTCGCTAGATTTCAGGGGAATGATGCTTGATTTTCGGATATTTTCAAACCTATGAGATTGCACTAGTTAGTATTTATGCGTAGGTGTATTCAGGATTCACAAATAAAAAAGACTTCTCTACAGATAGTTTTAACCAAATGATTACACAATTAATTCATATATTGTGTATCAACCTACAAAAATCCCTTTTTACATTGTATCTTCAATGTATAAAAAATAGTCCAATGTGACCATTTATATTAGTTTTTTTGTTATTGTCAATGGATTCGTTTTTAAAAAAAAAAAAAAGTGATGGAAGCTAACAGAATGGTCATATTTTAACACTTTTGATATATTGAGGGTATAGTATGAGAAATTTAATCTTTAAAATTATAAAATTAAAATCTTAAAATCTTTTTTGGTACAAAGTATAAAAAATCCAAAAAAAATTATAAATGTCCCTTAAATTATGACTTTTGTTTTAAATTGTCCCATAAATTTTTATTTGTTCCAATTTTATCCCTTAAAGTATGTACTTGGTTTCAATTGACATTTTTTCGTTATTAGACTTTAAATGACGCAGATTTCAACGTGCGAGATAAAGTTTTTGTTAATTGAATTTGTGTTGTTTCACCACTTGAATCTGATTTAAAGTTAATGGTTAAAGGTTGATCATTTTTTGGGGCGACCCCAAAAATGATATACAACATACTAGTACAAACAAGAAATAAATTGATATATAGGAGGTTGATCTTTTTCAACTTGGTGTATATGTCTGCTAAATGTCTATTTCAAAAGTATTTTCAATAAAGAGTATCCATGTATATGGTTGAAAACATCATAAAACTGGAAAAGTTTAATCTACATTACAATGTTACCCTTACCATGCCCCAAATTCAATACATGTAATATTGGACAAAATCCTAGACGAGTGTAAGGGAGGCTGTTTTGAGTTTTGAGATAGATTTTTGTTTATGCTGTTTGTCAACATTTTCTCCCCGATTACCGTGAGAAAAGAAGAATAGAAAATATTAAGAGAAGAACAGAAGCTTCATCATCGTTTCCGGCCATTATTAATGTAAGAGAAGAAAACAAGGGGTCCCAAAGAAGGAATTCTGAAGCTTACTTGTCTTTCTTGTCCATTTTGGTAATGTAAGAAAAAGAAAGGACGACACTAGAAGGAGAAGGAGATGGTGAGGAATATTAGCACAATAAGTGTATAATGGTTGAAATAAATGCTTGGGAAATGGTTACTCTCAATTCAAACGAGTCTCATCCTTGAGAAGCCCCAGCTATTCACATGTGATCATCCCATGGTTCATTATCTGCAGATGGCCATGGCAGGATGATGACTTTGTTGTTTGTATATTTATAATAGCTAAAACAAGCATATCATCAGATCTAGCAATTGATGCGGCTTAATTTGCCGTTTCATTAATAAATATACGACCAAGTAAACTATTATGTGAAAGATGTGTCATAATTTCCAACTGTTAATGGAATCTGTTGACTTATCCAAATTAAGAATAAAAATACAAACTTTGGGTGGGTGAAGTTACCAACCATGCATGCATGATAATCTAGATCAACTTCTTAGCAAGAATCAGATGTTGGGATTGTATATCTTGGAACTCATGGAAGGACATAAAATATAGGTATATGTTTGTATAATTTTGATGTTGTTTTGTGGTCAAGAAGAGTTGCAAGACAAAGAGGCAGTCAAAGACTCGAAGGGCCACTGGAGTTTTGCTGGCAAACACCTTCCTACGATGCTCAAGTCAATGTAATAGTTTTACAACTAAGTAAAAAAATAACGAGTGGCTTGGAATTTCTTACTTTTAAGGTGTATATTGTCCTGATTTACTCAGAGATGGTGAAAGAAGCAATCGATTAGGTCTTTTAAGGAGAATGGAAAAATTTATTAGATCGTTAAATTAAGTTCAAATAACATTTTTTAGTTAGTTCTGGTTGGAATCATTTGTCTTGAACCAAGGTGTATTGAATTGATCTGGTGATGTCCTCTAATAGGATTATCGGATCAACATCAAAGTCATTGGATTTGTAGCAAGGTTCAGTCGGACCACTAACCGAATATCTCATTTTCTTTAGAGCATGTTTGGTTCAAGTGTAAATAAAGGATGAGATTGGGTAATTAATTCTCATCAAATTCATAAAATAATTTTAATAAGAATATTATATAATTTTATTCTTGTATAATAAGTTTTGATCAAGATTGAGATAAAATATAAATATATAATTATAATACCAAATTTAATTTTGTATTAAGTAATAGTGTATAATATTAAACTAAAAATGACAAAAAAAATTATTGATGGTAAAAATTTACATAATGTATAACTTTTATATAAAGATGTGACTCTAAACTTGTAAGAATAATAAAATTATTCCATTTTTATACAATAGTAAATCAGGTCGAGATTAATTAAAATTAATATCGGATCGTCATAACCTCATACAAACTTAATATTATATTATCATCATATTAAATTAATCTAATCCACTCCTTAATACCTAAACCAATATATATATATCCACAGAGAGAGAGAGCGGACAGGGTTGGTGTGAGTGTCTCCACATGGGCAAATGCTCTAGCTGTCACTGGATAGAAGATGTCTTGTCTTTGGTTTACAGAAATTCTTCATCTTTCTTTGACTAATGTAGACAAGCTTGAGAGATGACAGGAACTGAGAAAAACTACATGTGCACTGCAAGTACACCAATATGAACTTAGGAAGTAGCAACACTGGGCCATGTTTGGCTGTCCACGTGAGGATGTGAGAGTGATGTTACCATAATACATAACAATTGGTTTTAATAAAATTATATTTTGACAATCCTCTTTGTCCCACTTGTTCGATCTCTCCAACTTTATAAATGCTTGGCCGAGAGCCGTTGGAGTTTCAATGCAAGTCAAATAACAAACTTATGAGAGAGGCCTCTGCACCTAAGGATGATGAAGAATTTAAATCAAGTTTATCGAATTTATTTTTTTAAATTAATCTAAAAAATTATTTAAACTCGACTCGTTTATAAAATAATCTTAACAAAAAATGACTTAAAATTAGAGTCGTTGTTGTGTTTTAATTCAAGTCAAAATAACAAACTGATGAGAGAGAGAGAGAAATTTAGGTGAACATGGGTCCATTTTCTACTCAAAATGTCACATTAAAATAGAGACAGAATAGTACAATTTTACAAATGCATTTTAATAAGGTAACGTTTAGAACCATGCACTGAAGCTACCCTTCTCTCTTCCCAACCAGAACTGATCCCGACTCCTAAACTCATTCATTCACATGCATAGGGAAATATAATTGAATAAAAATGATGAATCACAGCCAAGATGGTTAGATTAAAAAGTCTCCTATTGCAAAACTAATAATAAAAGTAGAATCTTTGAAGTATCTTGAATTCAACCCACCTCGTTTGGCTTTTTATGAGGTAAGATCATGTTATTTTTAAAAAATAAAAAATAAAAAGAAAAAAGAATATAAAGGGTTCACACAGGAAAATATTAAAAGATTTTCCTTTACCCTAATTTGGGATTAAAGAGAAACTAGGACTTATTAGACAATGTGAGAGGGACAACATTTTTAGAACCTCTTGTTGTACATTATATGGGATTTACAAGTTTGGGTTGAGTTCTACTTTCCTGACCCCATAAAGTTTGAGTTTAATGACATGAATATGGTTTGCAATTCATCTTTTGCTTGTTTCAAGCTAACCATGAATGCAAAGAGCACTTGATAAGAGCGACTTTTATTACGTTAAAAAATAGCAGTAAGTTGAATGCATCTCAATAACTTTGGTGAGATGATTTCATGATTACTATAACTTGATTACTATAACTTGAAGTCTCAAGTTTAACTCTCGCAAATAAATTATTATATATTTGACTCATTTGATCTACAAATGACAGACTTATATTCGAAATTTGCATTGTAGCTCTAAGTGCAAAGATACGTATTGTGAGATGGGGGATTGGGAGGTGCGTTGATATTAATGTAAGCAGTAAAAAGTACAATAATAGTTCTACAGTTTCCATTGCTTTATAAGATCTAGATCTATTGCTGCCTGTCTTAGTACAGGGAAGGTAACAAAAATATATATAACTAAAAGCCAAAGAAAGAACCAAAAAAAAAAACAAAAATTAGGACCAAATGGTATACTTTAACCCTAACAGTCACAGCTGCTTTGAACCAAAAAGAACCTTTCTTGGATCTATCAAATAGCGTTTCTCTTTCCTTGTTTTTCCAAACTTACAGCCCAAGAAGCACGTAGTAGAGTATCGTTATGGGCAACGCAATAAGCATTCCAAATATAACCCTGTAGACATTACAATCTCCAAGTCAATATATATGTACCATTTATTCTTTTTTATACACATCAAAAAGTCTAATATGCTCCAGCGAGAGAATATGATGGGAATCGGTGAGTGGTTTGTGGAAATCGACTGATCTTTTTCCATCACACAACACATTTCCACAAACCTTCCCCGAACATCCAGGCCGATTCATTATGGTTGTATGCTTCATATTAATTTTTTGATAAATCTTGTGAAATCATTGGAAGGAGTACTAAAGTTGTGTGTATGTATGTATGTGTATGTGTATATGTATATGTAGAGAAACAGCTATAACTAAAAAGAAACTTACGCTGTGCTTAGGATGTCCGGATGGACGTTGTACTCTTTTGCAAATACAAACGGAACTATTCCTTGGGGAAGAGCAGCCTGAAATCAAGAAATTAATGCTTGATCAATGTTGAATTTCAATTAATAGGCCACCCATCATCTACTTGATAAATAGGAGCATTAAGTTGAGTTGAGAAAAGAGAAAAGATACGAAGGCAATTAATTGTGAATACATGTGATATGGGCGAGTCAAGGTTGCACAAATCTAGGTGGAAATGGATTAATGGATGTACATTTAAGAAAAAGGAAAAACGTACAAGAAAAAATAATGTTAACTTATGAGTATGCAGTTACAATCACGAAGGGAAGAAAATAACATATGTGAGTTGAGAGTAACATAAATTTGTCCACGTGATGAAGGAGTGCCTACCAAAGGAGTACATGTTCAATGTAACATGACATGACCACAATGTTACTAACATGAAACATCATTATCTGAATATTAGACATAAATGTAACCGACATAAATCATTAACTACCATACATACACATGTGGCGTCTTGCTATTGAATTGTGATATGCTATGGTAGTGATGATGTAGTAGTATTCTCCTAATACTGAATATTTATTCCATACGAGGCACCATCTGGGTTTCTTCCCTCTTCTCTTTAGAAGTAAATTACACCAACAGTTGTTCATGCATTACACTGGGAAACTCGTATGATACAAGGCCAAGTATTTGGGATATGTAGGCAAATACTAGTAAGGGTAAAATTTTAAAAGTTTACCTGAACAATTGCTATGTGTAAAAGAACTCCCCTAAGACCAACTGCAATGGAGGTTGCAGCAATTACTGCAGGACCTGTTAAGAACCTAACTGCCATTGAAAATGTAGCAACAGATTTTCCGCAGGCAATGATCTTTGGCTGAAGAGCCATGAATAAACCTGTTGAAGAATCAAGAAAATTAAACATATGCTGTCGTTGTTTGGAACATTAAGGTAAACTAAAATCCTTGTACCGGTCAAGGATAAATACCTAGACTGAACATAGCCATTCCTAATCCTGCATCAGATAAGATTGATATTGATCCCCTCATTATGGAGGGCATTTGGATGTTCCACCTACAAATCAACAAGATTCAAGAATTCAGGGAAATTTCATCATTGATACTAACAAGATGAAAAGTGAATAGAATGAGAAAGTATGAAGCACAAATGACACTCTAACTTCGTAGTTGGGACTTGGGAGTCAATATTATCAAAAACGCACTCTCTTGACATGGATATACAGAGAACAAAAGTGGGATCCAATCACCTCGGGAAGAGGAAAATCATGTCACACTTTTCTCTCTCAACTGGAACCCGACCTTCTATTGACCCATATTGTGCAAGAGAAAAGCCAATGCACATTAGTGTTAAAGTGTAAGCCATATTGTGCAGCAACAAAGCCAATCCACACTCAATGGGTTTATGAAGAAAAAAGTGAATCAATAATACTTGTACCTAATTTGATGACAGTATATATGAATTGATAATGCACTTCATTCAGTACTAGGATTCATTACTAATCCAATAATCATAATACATTCGTTCATTAGTTCACATTTAACGTGTAATACATAACATGCAAGAGCAAAGGCAATAAAAACAGTGCAAAACTTTTAGACAAGAATCAGAGAACTTTTTGGTTAGTGAGTGTGTGTGTGTGAGAGAGAGAGAGAGACCGGAATGATATGAGAGACCATATGACCCCCAAAAGGCTGGAGTAGGTGTTGGGATTTCTTATGAGCTTCCTCCAAACCATGATAAGTATGAGTCTAGTCATGACACTTGCAGGAGGCATCCGGTGCTTCTTCTCTCCATCTTCTTCTTCCATGTCTATCTTCTTCTTATATGTGTACGGAGAGCCATTCGCCGGAAACTTCGAACCATCTTCTATGTCACTCTCCCTATCACCATTGATTTTCCCAGCAGGACTTGCATTACCAGTCGAATCATGCATGCCTGTATATATTGTCATCCACAAATACACTAAAAAGGCTAAGAATCTGAAATTCACATGTATACTTAACGAAAGTTAAATTCATTTCGAAAAAAAACAACCAGATATTAAAAGTGCTGTTCTTCCTTTCTAGTTAAGCGTTGGCCAAGAATCAAGATTTCGTTTTGTTTCCACCAAAACAATTAAAGCCTATGGATTCCACTGGAAATCTAAATGAAATAGCAATTGAATATTTTTTTGGCATTTTAACAGTAATTGAATATTAATTTGGGAGTGTTTTGAAGTGTTTCGATATATTTAGAGATATTTCTTAATCTTTTAGCCATGTTTCGTAATCAAGTTTTTCAACACATTTCTGAAATGGATCATTGGAAATGAAACAAAAGTCTTCCCCAACATGAAACCCCTTGATACATAAGGTCATTAAGAGACAAAAATTATTTTTTATGATTCACCTCTTGATGCAGCAATCTCTTGCTGAAGAACAGCCTTGGATGAATCAACCACCCCAAATTCAGAAGAAGCAGCTCTATTAACAGCATGTCTAAGATTCCCCTCAGACACAGGTGAAGCACTTGAGCTCCAAACAAACATGTGAAGCTCCTTATTGGGCATTGAACCACTCCCACCGTCCTTCTTCCAAGCTCCACCAGTACTAGACCCTGAAAACAATGGATTTGGAGGTGGGTATGAAGAAGAAACCATTCCCTGATTAAACAACTCACCACTCATACTCCTCCCTATTTTCTTCTTCCCAATCTTCATCATCTCCTCTTCAAAGTTTGATGTTCTTGGTGTTGGTCCTTTTGATGATTGCAGAGAAAACACATCCCCTCCATAACTGTTCGTATACCCATGTTTTGGGCTCGCTGTTTTGCTCGAAAACATGGCGTAAAAGTCTGTTTGATTGAAGCTTGAAGCTCTCGGCGTCGGTTCCCTGGAAGATTGAACGGAGTAAATCTCAACTCCTGTGAGGTTTGATGCTCTTGGAGTGATTGATGTCAATGCATGGGTTTTTTGGTATGATGATATCATTGATGAAGAGGTTGATCTTCTCACCACCACATGAAGCTTACCATCGTCGCCGATCTCAGCATCGGCCTGAAGTGGCTCACGGCCGTTGAGTGAAACGACGTCAGATTCAACCCGGAAGGAGGTGATCGAACCCGCCGTCTCTGGGAACTGCTCGGAGATAAGAAGCTTTGCTCCTCTATATTCAAACACGAAGAGCATGAGAGTGTACCAAATTACACTCTGTAAAACCACAATCTGAACCATCAGATTCCCAGAGAAATCTCCATACATGGCTTTTAAGAGAGGAATGCCCATAACAAGTGTGTTTGGAAGGGTGGAGAGTGAAAAGAGAGTGATTAGCCATTCTAAGCTGCCATTTTTGCTGAAGATTTGCCAGAGAAAAAGGGCAGTGAGAATGACTATTTTTTGCAGCGAATCGGCGGCGATGAATCTATAGTTCATGGCGTAAGGGTTGTTGGAGGAGATGAAATGGAAGCTCAGTAATGGGACGGCGAAGACTGCTACAAACCGGTTGATGCCGGAACACTGGTCCGGCGTAAAGATTTTCCACCACCGGACAGAACCGTAGGCCAAAATCATAGCAACATATAGTGGGACTATTGCTGCAAAAACATCGTAGATGTCCTTTCCGGCGATCATGGTTTTGCAGAATCAGGAGAGAGATGTTGAAAGGACTTGTTTTTTTGGTTCTTGGTAAGAGTTGGAAGTGGAGTTTGAAGCGACGTAACAGAAGGAGCACTAATCTCAAGATCATATGGAGGCAAGAGGATAAAGGTTTAACATGTGTTCATCCTCTCTTACTCTAACTACCAGTTTATAGCCAAGTGATTTTATTATAAATCCAAACCTACGGAGATTACTCAAATTTTGGTAATCTTAATCTCCATATTTTTGGTAATTTTTTAAAGTCAAGTCATAAACAATATAAATAACTTAATTTTGACTTAAATAATCTACCTTTAATTAAATTGAAAAAAATATTATTCGAAATTCAAATGCCCCTAATTATTGAACATAACAAAAATATTTTACACCTTCAACCTCTGGATTTTTTTCATTGTATTCTTTTTGAATAAATTTTATATTGTCACATAATTAAACACTAATCATAATTTGGACAAAAATGTGTTACAAAATTAATAGACGTTCCTAATATGAAACTAAAAATCATAAGTGAAAATTGCATTATGCAAATTAGGATAGTTAAATCAGTAATGTGAGACAGATAACTATATTTAGAGATACAATTTAAAAAAATATGATAGTTGAGAGGATAATATGAAATAAAGAATATATTTAAGTGGATTTAAGTATAATTTATTTTTTTATTGATTATCTTTTTGTTGTTAGACAAATGAAAATTAATAGCTTATGAGAGATGGAGCGTTGATTTCAATAGATCTTGTTTGTTACCAAAAAATACGGTGGAGAGAGAGAGAGAGAGAGAGAGAGAGAGAGAGGGGGGGGGGGGGGGGGTTGGTTAGATTTGGAGGTTAGAGTAAAGAAAGACATAATATAGCAGTAATCAGATTACTTCTCCTCAGTCCTCACTCGTCGCCACTGCACACGTTATTGCACATGTGAACTTCACAGCATCATGCTATTGTTGGTACAACCGCCCCCTCTTCCTCCCACCAGCTTTAAAATTTATTACTTTTGGACGTAAATTGTAAAAGGTATATCAAATTAGATTTATTTAGTAAAAAATATACACTAAAAAATATAAGATTATTAAGTACTTAATTTTGATACTTATTTGTATCAAAGTACATAATTTGAATTTATCTATTTTTATTGTGATATTTTTGCCCTCTATTAATCCATGTGTATTTAATGTAATATTTTTCTTTGAAAAGTGGTACATTAAACATCTTTTAATTTTATGGGAGAACTTTAATATATATATATATATATACTTATTGTTAAATCTCTTATCTAAATTTTAAATTATTTTTTAATGCACCTTGATTCATGCATTTTTTTTTTTAGAAAGTGATTTTATTTTCAAATTAATTTAATATTCGAATAATGTAGTAGTGTAATAATAACAGTGTAACAATAAAAGTGTAACAGTGTAACACTAACAATGTAACAGTATAACGATAATAGTATAACAAGCTATTTACACAAAATATTATACTATTACATTTTGTCAAACATATAGTTTCATATAATTTCATTCAAAATAGTTCATCTCCGTTTTTAATTTGTTACCATATACATATTATTTTTGTTACAGTGTATTTGTTACACTGTCTTTGTTACATTGTTATTATTACACTATTATTGTTATACTATTACATTATTCGGATATTAAATTAATTTGAAAATAAAACTATTTAAAAAAAAACGCTTGAATCAAAGTGCATTAAATATAATTTGAAAACAAAATCACTTTCAAAAAAAATACGCATGAATCAAGGTGAATTAAAGATAATTCAAAATTTAAATAAAACAACAAATATATATATATGTGTGTGTGTGTGTGTGTGTGTGTGTGTGTGTGTGTGTAACTAAAAATATATATACGTATATATATTTACATGTATTAACAAATACACATGAATTAAATGTGTATTAAATACATATTTATAAATATTAACAAACACACACGAATTAAGGTGCATTAAATATAAGAGATTTTGAATTAAATGACCCTAAAATGGACATTTATGTCTTTTTAACTCTCATTTTGTTCTATGTACTTTTTACCAAATAAGTCTAATTAGGTATACCAACTTCTAAAGAACCCTTGTTTTTAAACAATACTTTAACGCATAAATCATACCTTAATGGACAACTGTTTTTTTGGTACAAACATTAGATAACAGAAGAGTTCATTCGGTTTCAAATAGCCCATTTAATGAAGGACTTGACTACCCTAGCGAATTAAAAAAAAAATATATCATACCTTCAAAATTTTTTATTTTTATAAATATTTTTATCACTTTTTTCGGTAAAAAAAATATCATTTTTTATCACGGGTTATGCATAACAATTCGAGCACATAAATTGTATTTAATAAATTAAGTTGGTACCAAATTTTCTAATATATTCATTAAACAGGTCTTACTAAGGTTAGTTAGAGATGAACATTAACCGAAATGACATGATTTAAACACAACGTGACACCACCGAATGGCTAGGAGATGTTTTTGTATAGGGAAAAATATAAACCAAAGAATATGATAAGGTGCAACTTGGCTCCCTCCGAACCTACAAACAAACAAAGGGTGGGGTGCGTCGGTCAAAAGTGCTTAAGTCAGCAAGAGTTTCAGGTACGCAGGAGCAGAGTGTGTGCTCCTGAATCATTGAACTATCTCGTACATATTAGTAATCTTTTGTACCAGTTTGGATTAGGATTAATCTCTTGTCATCATAATAGTTGGATTATCTTGCATGGTACTCTTTGTCTAGGTACGATAGTTTGGGGGCGGCTCAACATAAAATAGGGTCTAAGGTGAAAATTTAAATGAGACCTCATTAATTTTTTAAATAAAATTTAAATTATTCTCTTTTGAGAAATAAAAATATGTATTCGATTTTTGTATTCAAGTTTTGTTAACATGTTTTTTTTATAGATAGTATAATTAATTCAAATAAAACGTGATAAAAAGAAATAAAATTATAATTAATAAAACTTAAACTAAATATCATAGACTCGTACAATATTTTATGTTGTCGTTAACAATACAAACAAATTCAAATCAAATCTAAAAAAAATCTAAATTTTTTTTTTGAGGTACTAAAATAAAATTAAACTTAAATTAAATTTATATCTAAAAATTTTATTTAAACATTAAATTTCATAAAATCTCTATAAAATAAACTCTAATCATTTGAGGTCTAAAGTGGCGGCTTCAATGACTATGCCATTGAGCCGGCCCTAACGATACCTCCCACGGGCCACAATCCCACCAGCGCCTGATGATCGACAACCCAAGTTAACCGGCCGAGTGGACAACCAGTAGGAAATTGAACAAGTGCAATCGTCTAATAATAAATTAATAAATGGATAAAACAGATCTTATTTTTAAAAATAATTATATCTCCATGTAAGGTAATAATCACCATATGTAAAAAAATATGATTCACTTTATTTATTTATTTATTATTGAGTGGTTAGACAGTGAGACCATTACATTGAATTTCTAGGGTGGATGAGGTTGTTGAGTCAGAGCCAACAAAACAAAATACCCATTTACGGTGTAGGCCCAGATTTGTCCGTTGGGTCAGTTTTAGGTGGTGGGTTTTTAACTGGCTAACCTATTCTGATGGGCCTTAAATGATTATAATTGGACTCCTAAGACCAACTTCTATTTATAAAAGGATAGAAAATGATAAACCGGAAATTAAAATGGTAATTTTATAAACAAACTAAATGTTTAAAAAGAAAATTCGGAAGAAAATGAACCAAAAGAAGATTAAGCAATTAAGATTGTATTTTTCAGAAACAAATAGAAATTAGAGATGTTGTTTGTAAATAAAAATACAAATTAAGACAACTGATTTACATTTAATGGTAATTTCCCCAATATTTTTTTATATAGTTTGTTGTTTTTTTATATAGTTTGGATTCAGGACTCCTCTTGTTGCTAAAACAGCCGTTGCTTGCACCTTCTTTTTTGCTGTTGAATCCAAGTGAAAATTTGGGATCCATTAACAAGCAGTGGACCAGCCCGAGATACAAGTATTGGGACCTGATGATAATGGGCCTTACACTGCAGGCCGTTGACCACATGGAGGGTTGGGAAAACTATTTCGTAACGGTTTTTCATAATATTTTTCAATGAAAAAGCAATTTCCAAATTTAATTACTATTTAATAAAAGTGATCTAAATACATCTTAACAGAAAACAAGACTATTAATAGAATACAATGACAAAAGTGAATTTACGTAACTGACCCTTACAATATTTTTGCTGATTTGTTAGCTGCTCAACTACTACACATATACATATACGAATTACCCAGTAAAAAAAAAAAGGGTCAATTGCACCGGAGATTTCTAAAGTATGAGTTTTATCTCATATAGTCTCCGAAATCTTGAATATGTTTTTATGTGGTCTCTCAAATAGACAACGTCCAGATTATTAGGCATATGAGTCGTAACCGTGATCTCTCACCCAATTCAGTCATCCGAGTTTGATCTTGCAGTCCTTGGCCAACAATCAGAAGTGCGACAGTCAAGAGCTTCCAGCAACAAGGACCTTAGGGAAAACAAGGTTGACAGGTCGCGCGTAAATCACAACGGTTCAGCAATTAGCCATATGAGTCGTACCCGTGTCAACGTTATCCACGACGATTATGCAAAAGAAGCTTTCGTTACAAGAGAATGGCAAGAATCAATTCTAGAAATCAAGCAAGACCTTTGAAGGTTATAAATAAGAGACATATCCCTCATAATAAGACAAAGGCAACCAGTTTGAACAAATATTTTGTATAATCTTCCCTTTTATAAATAAAATTCGTCCCCAGTAACAAGAGACTCTTTTAAAAGTGGATTAGTCGAATTTTGAAGTCGGTGAACCACTATAAACCATTTGTCTGTGATCCCTAATCATCTATTTAAAGAGTCAAGGAACTCCGACCAAATCTTTCAGTGATTCTTTAACTCTCAACAAACATAACTTTATTAAATTGTGTAACACACACCGTGAGTAGTCAATACTTCAAAAATCAAAATAATACAATTAAAATATTAAAAATCAAAATGCGACAAACTTTGTACTTTAAAAATCTCTAATATAACTAACCCAAAAAAATCTCTAATATAACTAACCCAAAAAATAACTAAACAGAGAGACGAAGCAAGTGATATATGTATAGAAAAACACTCAAAATCTAGTATTTAACCAAAAATATTATAATATTTTTTTTCTTTCACACAAACTCAATTTGGGCCACAGCTAGGGCAGTCGACCTACCCATGAAAGTTATACACACCCATTAACCTAAAAATCATTGACTTATCAATGACTGTTACACTTTACACCCCATTTACTCAGAAAACGTTGAAATTTATGTACGCGTAGCAATGAATATTTTTTTCGCAGAAATGGACCTAGATTATGGTCCACGTCAAGTGGGTCCTAGACACTCGAACAACTATTTTTGATATCTTATCTCTATTTTGTTTTTTTTTCATGTTTAAAGTTTATTATTATTTTTACTTAATGGTTATAAATCATCCAAAAAATAAAAATAATTATCATAAAAATAGTAAAAACATTCATAAAAATAATAATTTTTTTGTATTAAAGAAAAATGATAATTTTTTTGCATTAAAAAAATAATAAAAATAATTATCACAACAGTAATAAAAATACTCATAAATCTTTGTATTATAAAAATTCTCAAAAAAATAATAAATTTTGTAGATATGATACTAAATTTTTTTACTCATAGCATAGTGAAGTCCAAAATAATTCAATAGTTCAAATGACTATTAGTACGGTACCCATTTTAATAACGTCTCTTATAAATTTTTGGCCAACTTTCTAGTAGCCGTTGGATTAGAAGATTCCCATCCGACGGTCATTAAGAGAAGCAAAACTTAATATTCCAGCTGCCACAACAAAAAACTAATGGAAAGTTGGTCAACCGTTCACTCCATTAAAAAAAGGTCAAACAAGAAAGCGTAACGTTTTCAAGGTGGTCCCCTTCACGTGCTCGCTCTTCATTCATCCCTCTTACTTCAAAATGCTCAATTCAAATGTTTCTGGAAACTCTCTCGACTCAAGAAAGAGATGGTCGGGTCAACTTCCATTGCAAAGAAAAACGTTGTACTATCTCCCAGAGCTTGGCAAACCAGGTTTGACTGCAACAAAAGCAATGAACCTCGTGGGATTGGCTTATACCTTAAAATAAGTAAAATTGTTAAAGAGTAATATTCTTGTAACATTTTTTTGTTAATAATTTGAGATAAGAACTTTTTTATGTCATTAAATTCAGCTCAGTAGCTAATTTTTTTTATTTTACAATATTACCCCTGTTTTATAAATTTTTTAAAATTCAAATATACATTCAACGTCATAAAACAAAACCAGTAAGATCATACAAAATTTCACATACCAAACAATGCATATTCACAAACAAAAAATGAGAGGGCAAGAGTATTTTTAGTTCACTGGCTTGAGTTTACAAAATTGAATCAATAAGGTCATTCAAAATTCACAAAGCTAAATAAAGATCCTTCAAAAATTTTATCAAACATAGTCAAATCTCATCCAAATTTATAAATCAAACAATCGATTCAAAAAGAGAGAGAGAGTGAGTGTTTTTAGTTCACTAATTAAGTTCATTGTTTTTTAGTTCATTGTCTTTAGTTCATTGTATTAATGCTCCGGTTGATATGAAGAATGAAAAGTAGAAAAAAATACATTTTCTATCCTTCAAAAAAGGAAAGTAGGAATAATACACTTTCCTTTCTTTGTATTTGGTTAGATGGTTAAAAAATAAAAATAACTAATTTTTTTTTGTGCTGGCTAAGATTAGGGGTGACAATCGAATCGTGTCGTGTCAAATACGTTTTAAGTCATTACGGATTTGTGTCAAATACAAATAATTAACTTTTCATTCACTTTTTTTTCAATTTTAGGGAGATTGATTTTAGTGAGTTGAAAAGAAAGTTAATTCATCAACTTTTTCATCTTTCCTATTTTCCTTCCTTACCAAACATGATGTTTTATTTATCCCTCTAACTTTTCTATCCTTCCATTTTTCTATCATACCAAACGGAGCATAAGTGTGTCTCTTGGGAGGTGAAAGATAGATGAGAGAGAAATAAATTTAAGAATGAGAGGAAAAAAATTAAGTAATGATCTTAATTAAGATTATTTTTGTTACGTTTTAATTTTATAGATCTTTGATCTTAAAAATGTTGATGCTAGACATCAAATCCCAAAAATCTCTAGGTGAATTTTATTTTTATGTCTAATTCCTTTAAAACTTAGAATTTATATCGAATAACATAATTTCCATTTAATTTTAACAAATTATATATGAATTGTGATTCAATTTTATCAAACAATCATTAAATTTGATCACATATTTATATGTATTTAAATATAATCAAGATCAACACACAAACCGAATCCAATATTGATGAATCCAAACACGAACATGTGCGTGGATTCAAATTCAGATTAAGATAATTGATAAAAAAAATTAATTTATATCTAATTAATCAAATTTAAATTTCTATTAAATGTGGTTCAAAACTAAATCGATTGAGAAACCTGATAATATATCATTCCCTATTGTCGAAAAAAATGCAAAGCGCAAATTGAGCGCATAAAAAAACTTTATCATTCTCCTATTCTTTGTGTTCATAAATATATCGTAAATTCTTGGTGTTAGAAAAATATTCTCAAAATCACACTCATCATTAGTGTCAGAAAAGTATTCACAAAATCACACACATCATATAAACGAAGAAAAGGAGAGATTTAGGTGAATGTCAAAACTTTAGAAGAAATAGTATCCCTCAAGTAATTTGGTGTTTGAAGTGTTGGCGCATTAATCTAAGTGCTTGAAACAAAGACTTGTTATTCCACTAGCACTATATTTTTAATGTTGTAGGAGTTGAATGTTAGTGCCCATACGACTTATACTTTGGCACTGTTATTCAATTCCTTTGACAAATCATACTAGCGTTTGGTCTACGCCCTCTAGATTCGACCTAATTCTTAAAACAAAGTAAAAGGAAAATGAAAGACTTAATCACATTAAATACCCTATAAGGTTTGGTATAGATTAGCAAAATCCTCTCTAATTTGGAAAACAGGTTAACCGTCCATCCCGTCTTTTACATGCCAATATTCACCATTGATATTCAAGCGAAAGAACAAAAATGCACTTGAATATAGAATTGCACCATTAAATCTCCCGCACTTAGACAAAAATGCCAGCATTACCCATGGTGATAATTTTCTTCTACTCCAGAACAACTACTCGAACCCTACCATTCAATCTCCTACAATCGCTACCTCCCTGTCAACTCCAAAATAAATGCAACAATAACCGCAATTAACCTTTAAAACTTGATATCTAAAATCCAAACTAAACATTTGACACCACACCACCTTAATCTTATCAACTCAAGTGTTTGTAACCTACAACCTACCAACTACCAAAGTAACTCCTAACACAAATATTAAATCCAATATAAATCAAAATGCTAGTCTAAATTTCAAAACAAACAGGGGGTAGGTAAGGGATATGGTTGGTGAGTTGCTAAGAATAGAGGGTTAGGGGGCTTATCTACCAAGGGTGGATGTTTTGGGGGAAGGGGAGAATAAAACATTGTCTAGCAATAAAGGATTAAATTCTTTACACGCAACCAATCAAAATTGAAGAGTTACACAAACACATAAATTAATATTAAAATTTTTTAATGAATTTGTATAACTACTCAATTTTGATTGACAGCCAATTTATTTACAAGTCGTCTGCAAAAAATCTATTCTCCTAACAACAAATTTGTGATGTAAGAAGTCTAAGTAATTTTTTAATGGAAATTGGGTCGTCGAAATAATTTTTTTCCTGTGTAATCTATTTTACTTTACCTTCCTAAAGTGATGAAAGATAAATTCGTTTGTGGGTTTGTTCCATTACTCCCATCTCCGAAACATTACCAATTAGATGTAGTATTATTATTCAAACACAAAGGGGCGTATTCGAATAAATAACTAGTGATAGGTGTCTAAGCGTAATTAACCATAAAGAAACACCCATCATGTGTGTTTGGCTTTCTAGTTGACAAGAACAGTATAAAGAAAACATTGATCGGATTCCCAACTCTTGAAGTTTTCACAACTTGTGGTGAGTTGACTTTTGCAAAATATCAAGTGATGCTTTAATTGATTTTGAGAAAAGTTACTAATTTTTTTTTGGTCGACGATTAAAAATTTTTAAATTAGCTTTTGTATATTTTAATTCATCTCTTTTTCAATCAAATTAAAGACAAGTTATTAACAGTGAAATTAGGACATTCATAAAAAACAATTTTTTTTATAATTATTAAGATTTGAACTCAAAATATTATTTACTGTTACATATTACGAATGAATATTAAAAATTTTAATAAATTAAATTTTAATAAACTCCTTTTAAAAAAAAAAGAAAAAGAGTGAACATCACTAGCAGGTGAATCTTTCTTTGCTTATTACAAGGGGGACCCCCCACGTTCTCCTTTAGACCTTCACAGGAGCGGCCACTTTGTCCTTTTCTTCATCGAAACCGGAGAAAAAAGTCTAACCCAATCCTCACCGTTGGATTAGCTACACGCCTTTGACTTTTCATCTCCCCCACTCTGCTCCTCCAACCATATATTCCCCTCAATCCCCCCTTTCCTCTCCCAATCTCTCTTCTCTCTCTCTATTGTCTCCTCTCGAGCTCTGAAAGTCATCTCTAATGGCGGTAGATCTGGTTAGCTATCAGCATATGAATGACCATACGGCTGTCCAAGAAGCTGCCTCAGCCGGTTTGAAGAGCATGGAGCATCTGATTCGAATCTTTCAATCTCAGCAGCACAATCAGCTCGATTGCAGAGGCCTCACCGATTACACCGTTTCTAAATTCAAAAATGTCGTTTCCATCTTGAACCGGACCGGTCATGCCCGGTTCCGTCGAGGTCCTTCCAATCCGTCCTCGTCGCCTTCATCATCTTCATCTTCTCTATCAGATTCTCCGGTCCTACTGCCGGTTCTTTCTGAAACCCCGGTTCAGAGCCTGACGCTTGATTTTACAAAACCTATGGTAATGAAATCCAACTCCAACAGAAACCCTAACCCTACCGAGTCAAGACCGAGTCAGATCTGTAAGGAATCTTTCAGCATCTCTCCTCCAATGTCGTCCACGAGCTCTTCATTGATCTCCGGAGATGGTAGCGTTGCGAATGGAAAACAGGTGTCCTCCGCCGTCTTAGCTCCGAAACCGGTTATTTCCACCGGAAAACCGCCTCTTCCATCATCTTACCGGAAAAGATGCCTCGAGCATACCGTCTCCGACCAATTAGCCGGGAACGGAGGTTGCCACTGCTCCAAGAGAAGGTACGATAGCCGTAAAATTGTCCCTTTTTATTTCCTTATTTTGGGTTATAGTTATACTTATATTTTGTTGATTTATTTCAGGAAATCTCGACTGAAAAGCGTGATAAGAGTGCCGGCGATTAGTTCAAAGGTGGCAGATATTCCCGCCGACGAGTATTCATGGCGGAAATACGGTCAAAAGCCGATCAAGGGTTCTCCATACCCACGGTATGAAGTTGTTTATTTCATTTAGATTTTAAATTAATTTTATCATAAATTATATAGCTTACAGTTTGAATACCGTATTTATAAAATTATAAGGTTAATTGCATCGAAGGTTTTCAAGTACGATATTTATCTTTTTTGAGTCCCAAATATTTAATTGCATCGTTCTGGTCTCTGGATGATTGAATATGTTTTTGCGTAATTCTTCAAATAGACAAATATCTAAATTGTTAATAATTTTTTATTATAAATTTGTCACTTAATACTTAAATATTAGTAAAAAAATAATTTAAATATTTTTTGACCAATTTTTTATCTAAATTTTGATCAAAAAATTACTCAAATTACACAATTTTAAACATGAACTATTTAAATTTTTGTCGAGAGGTATTCATATTACATATTTTTTGTCAATGGCTACTTAAATATTTGTTAAGAATTATTTAAATTATTTTTTTTGTATATTTATTTAAATATCACGTGAAAAATTTATGATAAAAAATCGTAAATGTTATCTGTTTAAGAGATCACATATAAATATATTTAATATTAAAATATTGTAATAGAAATATTAGAGACTAAAATAAGATAAATTTCATATTTTAAGACCTTCAATGTAATTAATTGAAAATTATAATAATTTTTCCAACAAAAACATTATTATTTCTACGGGTCTTTATTTCGTACAAATCAATCAATTGACGATTTTTTTCCCGATATACAGTCTCTTTAAATATTGTTTACATGTATAATTTAGGTGGTGGAATCACGCTCAAATTAAATTTATTCGATTCAAAGTCACTGTGAATATAATGAATTAGTCGATTTGAATTAGTCAATAGTCAATAGTCAATAGTCAAACACGAATCTCGAGGCATAAAGTTGGTCATAAAGTTAATATTTTTTTTTTTGTTTTGTTTTGTGATGCAGAGGGTACTACAGATGTAGTGGCATGAGAGGATGCCCAGCGAGGAAACACGTGGAGAGGGCGAAGGATGATCCAACGTTTCTGATTGTAACTTACGAAGGAGAGCACCAACACTCTCACACGCCGGTGACCGAAAGGGTGACAGGTCGTCCTGCTCCAGTTTTCCAGTCAAAATGACTTAAGTCAGATGGGGGCCCACCCTTTAACGTTTTTTGATCAGGAACCATTGAAATTTGTGTAACATAGAATGGTGTGATGATGCATGTGGGGGTGACAGGACTTTGTATTGTAAATTGAAAGGGGAAGGAAAATCCATATTGAAGATAAGCTGTATGTGGATGCGATTTTGTTATGTAATCATAATTTTGTTCTTTCTTTTATAGTCAATTTAATAATTGACGTAGTAACTTTGACTAAAACTGAATTTGATTTGGATTATAAATAAAAATGTCGAATATTTTATAGTCAATTTCATAATTGACCAAGTAACTTTGACCAAATTTGAATTTGATTTGGATTGTGAATAAAAATGTCAATCTAATCAGATTTAATTTTGATTGAAATATCAGTCTGATGATATTGTTTTATGATATGCTGCATCCATACCATAAAAATATAAAGAATCAACAATATTTTTGTGAGAAAGAAAATGAAGTTGAAAGAGTATAGTTATAGTTAATGAGAAATAAAAGAAAGTTTGATTTGGTAAAACCATATTCACATTCGTAGAAAACAAGTACCCAAAACCATGTGCCCACTTCGTGACATGGAACCCTGACCTACAGCACTCATTAACTATGTTGGGATCGTTTTCAAATGAAATTCATTAAAGTTTATTTATTTGTAATACAGACTAAACTTTAAAAATCGGTTTAATAAGGTAATCAAGGCCAACTAATGACTTATTCATCTCGTCTAGGCTCATGAAAACGGACACACACACACATATACCAAAAATAATACCAGAAACAACTAAAATGATATCTTCCTATCTCGTTTGCAACAAGACTCAATAACAAAGTCTCACTCCGATCTCTAGTTGGATCACTAAATACAAGCAAAAATATCTAGGTTGTTTAAGTACGACCTCAAGTAAGGGTGGTCAAGTCGTTCATATCATCTCACAGGGAGAGTTTAGTATTTTCAACTTTGGTCGAAAATACAAATCAAACTATTTTGTCCACGAGCTATCCAAAGAAACAAGATGCCGACTTAAGCCGTATGATCTCTCGCAGATATGAAAGATTATAGCATATCCAAACTTTTTAGAATGTCACGTCAAATTTAGGAACACAACCTTTAACGATTAAATATTCTTTTAACCAAATTCTAACAAAGTAAGGGCATTGACGATGACGTGAGGACCACTCTAGAGGTCAATATAAATATAAGGGCAATCACTCATGTAAAGGGTACTAATTGTAACCCCTATCTTTTTTTCCAAAGTAGTGGAAAATTTTCCAACGAATAAGAGACTCCATTAAAAAACTTTTCAATTCGGACGCTGCCTTATCCTCTAGCACGTACCTCTATTCTATGTTTTCTGTAGCAGTTTATAGAGCCTCCAGGATTAGCCACACGTCCATCTCTCATACATTGTTGATACTCACAAGTACTGGTCTCAAGCCTTGAACCCCTCAATTCAAGCAATTGGGTCTCACCTTTGAGTCCTTAAAATCATCAATATATTATTATGTACTCTATATTAGGTCCTTTGCAGTGTGTAGAATCAATGAGAAATACTTGTGACTATGATGACATGGTGTATACCGAAGCGTCCATACTTACTCTAAACAAATTGATTTTAATTTTTAACATGAATTTGAACTAGAGCTTAAATTCGAATGCAAGCTCAAGCTTAATTCATTTGATCAGATGAATCGAGTTGAGTTTGAATGAGATGTTAACAAATTCTTCGTGATTTCAAATCTATTTGAAATCAACAATCCGAAAATCAACCATTCACTTCATTTGTCAACTTACTAATAAGTTCTCTCCATTAAACTCAGTGGCAGAGCCACTTTTGGAATTTGCCCACTCGCATTTTTTATTTTATTAACATTACAGATACATTTTTTAAATAAAGTTAAAATATATTTAATTTGTGTCCTCCTTATTATAATATTCATATAACATCGACTAAAATATACTCATACCTAAATGACTATTAACTTTCAACAATACTATGAAGATTGCATTTGAGTAACTAATGTACGGTGACATTCATGACGTTTAATATTTAATGAAGTTCAGTATCAATCTACTGATCAGAATTCATTATATTCCTAAGTTAAATTTCTAAATTAGGTATAATTGGTAAAATTTTATAATTCAATTTTTTTTTGCTTTTATTTGTAAACACTATGTATTTCTATTTTTTTTAATGTTTTAAGTTTAATGAATTTATAAGTATCAAATATAATTTTAATTAATATGAATGCATAAACTTTTTTGATCAATCAGAGAAAAAAAAGAGAGTTTGTTAATGGATTTATTCTATAGTAATTTTCTAACCCCGCCCCTTAATACACTTTGATTTAATTTTTCACACTTGTGTATCATCCATCGGGTGTAAGTGAGGAGCTCACATATAAAATAATGAGTATCATTTAATTTTATGGTAAGTCGGTTGGATGGTGTGTTGAGAATGGAGGAAATATACCGGAGGCAGAAAGCGAATGTTAAGTGGGTTGTAGAGGGGGAGAAAAATACGAGGTTCTATCATGCCTTAGCTAGAGGCAAGGCAGTTAGAAATAAAAATTTTCGAATTCAAAATAAGGATGGAATTTGGGTGGAATCAGATGAGGAAATAAGCAAGGTGGCAGAGGATTTTTATTCCATTCTTTATCTTTCTAAGGCTCATGTTATTCAAGAGGATCTCTTTGCTGTTATTCCTCATTTAGTTACTGAAGAGCAAAATTCTGATTTAGTCAGAGTAGCTTCTATGGGGGAGGTGAAGGAGGTGGTTTTTTCTATGTCTGTGCATAGTGCCCCAGGGGAAGATGGGATGTCTGGAGGTTTTTTCCAAGCTGCATGGGGTATTATTGGTGAAGATGTGGGCAAGGCTGGTAATTTTTTTCTGCAAGGAGGAAAGGTCCCACAATCTGTTAATGCTACCCTTTTGGCTTTGATTCCAAAGAAGGTAAACCCAACGTCTTTTGTTGATTTTAGACCCATTAATTTGTGTAACTTTCTATGTAAGATTTTTACCAAGTTGTTATCTAGAAGGCTAGCTTCTCTATTTCCTATGCTGGTTTCGGTTGAACAACATGGTTTTGTGAGGGGTAGAAATGAGGGAGAATGTTTGTCCTTGGCTCAGTTGATGGTAGGAGATTTGGAGAGAAAGGCGGAGGCTGGTATTTGATGTTTAAGTTGGACATTTTGAAAGCCTATGATAGGCTGGAGTGAGACTTTCTTTTGAAGACCTTAACCAGTTTTGGTTTTTCTAGCTTGTTTGTACAAATTATAGCTAATTGCTTGGAAAAGGTTTCTTCCCTACATCTAGGGGTTTGAGGCAAAGGGATCTTATTTCTCCGTGTCTTTTTATTCTTGCTGAAGAAATGCTTAGTAGGGGTTGACGAGGGCTTATTAAGAGGGTCTGATTAAACACTTTCATAAGGGAAGGGGTGCAAAATTGATTAGTCATTTGTAGTTTGCAGACGACACATTGATATTTCTGAAGGGGAATAAGAGATCTTTGGAGAATTTGTTGAGATTCCTGAGGTTGTACGAGGGGAGCTCTGGTCAAAGGGTTAGTATGCAGAAAAGTTCAATGTTATGTTTTAAGCACATTTCTTCTGAAAGAAGGCATGCTTGTCAGTAATGGCTGGTATTCCAATCAAGAGTTGTCCTTTCACTTACTTAGGTTGCCCTGTTAATTATTTTAAAGGATTATTGTTGTAGTTCAGGGGGAAATTAGAGGGTTGGTATACTAGATTATTATCTAACATGGGGAGGGTGGTTTTGGTCCAGTATGTCCTTTTTGTTATTCCTGTGCATTTGTTTGCTTCCTTGAATTTAGCTAAAACTGTGATTAATAAGCTCAATTCTTTGATGACAGGTTTTATTTGGTCTAATAAGCTTGATGTGAGAAGGAGACATTGGGTGGCTTGGGATAAGATAACTAGGCATAAAGTGGAGGGTGGTTTAGGTGTGAGGAGGTTTGAGGATGTACAAACAACCTTCAAGATGAAGCATGTTTGGAATGTGTTGCAAGGGTCCTTCATGTGGGCTCAGGCTTTCTCTGCCGAGTTTTTGAGGGGAAGACATTTGATGAGTTGTGGAGGTAGAAGTCACTCTATGTGGTTTATTGCTTTGAAGCCTTATTTTGAAAAAGTGGTGAATTCTTCAAAGGTGTAAGTTGGGATGGTGTGCACACTGATATTTGGTGTGATAATTGGCTAGGGGAGGGTGTTTTGCTGAATAATATAGAGGGAGTACCTCACTTCTTTCCAAAGATTGCTGATCTTTTTTTGCATTTCCAATGGCAGTTGAGTGGGGTAGAGGATATGCTAGCAAGGCAAGGAGGATGTGGTCAGGTCTGGGGTGACTTTGTCTGCTCTTGTTGATAAGTTGGTAATGCAAAAGACAAATTCTGGGAAATTCTCTATTAAATCAGCCTGGCAAGTGATTAGGAGTCAAAGGGAAATGAATGATACTACTACTCTTATTTGGAAGACTCGTAGTACTCCTAGTGCTCTTTTGGTAGGATGGAAAATCTTGTGGAAGGCTCTTCCATTAGATTCAAATTTTAAGAGAATAGGGATTGCTATGGTTAGTAGATGTTGCATGTGTTATCATGCTATTGAGAATGAAGAGCATTTGTTTGTAGGTTGTGCTTTTGCTAGTGCCATCTGGGATAGGTTGGCTGCTATTGGTGGTTTTCAGCTTATAGCTGGGGAAACTCCTTTGTTGAGGTTAAAGAGATTGTGTGGAGTTTTTAAGAGACAGTCAGTAGGGCATGGATTGATTAGAAGTATTGCCTTGTTGGTTTTTTGGAAAATCTGGAAGGAACGGTGCAAAAGGGTGGCTGATGAAGGTAGACTGCATTCTTATTCCATGTTTGTTAAAGTCTGTAGTATTCTCATGTATCAAGCCAAGAATGTGAGGCCTGGGGTGCATGAGGATGAAGTAGGCAAGGTTTTTTTTTTTTTTGGAGAATGTAAAGGTAAGGGTGTCTTATCATATGGTAGGGAGTGCTATCTAGGTGAAATGGTTGTGCCCTCCTACTGGGTGTCTAAAATTAAACACTGATGGGCTTCTAAAGGTAATCTTGGGCTTGCTGGTGGAGGGGTTGTTCTAAGGAATGAGTGGGGAAGGGTAGTCTTAGCTACTTCTTTCTTTTACGATGAATGTACCAATATGGTAGTTGAGTTCAGAGCCTTGCTGGATGGTTTAAGGTTGGTGCAGTAGTATGATCTATTGGCATACAAGATCTTTATTGAGTGTGATTCCCTGGTGCTTGTGAATTCTGTGATGGGGAAGTGTGTTTGTGTTTGGCATTTTTTGAGTTTGCTGAGGCAGATAGAGGAGATGCTGAATTGTGGGGACTTTCAGGTGTAACATCTTTATAGAGAAGCTAATGTAGCTGCTGACAGGTTTGTGAGTCAGACTGTGCAACTCAGGCAATCTGTTGATTTTTTTGGTCCATTGAGTATGCCATGTGATGTTAAACTACCGTTGTTGCAAGACATGAAGAGTCTACCTGTTCTGAGGACCAGAAGGTTTCTGGTTTATGATGATATAGGTCATCCTTCAACTGTGAAGGTGCAAGTTGCTTAACTGTTCAAGAGTTTGTCCTTTTTATTTCAAAAATTCTTTTGTAAAAATAGTTGGTTATAATAGCAAGTTGTCTACTTCCTCTTCATTGTAATACGTTTTGATAATGAAATAAAAAAAAACGCTACTTTAAAAAAACATCATGGTAAGTGATTTATCATCACGTAGAATAAAGTGAAATTGAAATAGAAAAGATCTTAATCCCTACAAAGATTTTTTACTAAATTTTTCATCTTGATGATACCTAGAATATGCCTAAGATTGAGTTCGATTTCTCAGCTCAGTTCTCTCAGATCGGCAGCTCAGTTGCACAAAGACTCTAATTCCAGACCTCAACTTCCTTGAATCTGCACCTTAAGGAAGGTAAAATAAAAGACAACTGACTTCCACCAAGCACCCCCTCGATAGCAACAGTCACTTATCTAGCACGAGATTCGTAATTGCCCCAACACCTCTCTGTAACCGTTGCACAATATAAGCAGCCGTTGTGAGAAAAAGGCAAGGATGCTTTGGCTGGATCTAAAATCAACTATAAATAAGAGGCAAAGTCCTCGATAGAAACAAGCAATTGTAGCCTCACTAATATACTCTCTATAAAGCCCCCCATTATTAATATATTTCCCAAGAGCAAGAGACTCCTTTGAGAATAGATTAGCCGAGCTCTCGAGCTTATAAACCACTATATATTTTCTGTGTAATAATCTCATTCATGCAATCCTATTCACAAAAGCCTTGGAGCTTAGACTGAACTATTTAGTGCACCATATATTTGCCATTTGCTCTATCGTGTTTTATACATCATCACATCTCAAGTGATGTGACACAATTTTCACCATCAAATAAGTGGGTCTTATTTATACTTAATGATGAAAATTGTGTCACATCACTTGGAATGAAAATTTTGGTAAGCATAACATTACTAGTGACATTATTGCAAGATAACGCGAGTTCTACAAGCAATTGTCTCAATATAAAATGAACAGTAATGGTAAAAATTAAAATTTTAGGGGTCCAATGTGACATAATTATTAGTGTGAGAGTTCAATTTAGTAATTCAAAATTTATGCGGGGATAAAATAGCATTAACCCGAGAAAGAGAAACAAAAGAGCTCTATGGCTCTACCTTCTCCTTCACACAACTTCTTGCTAAAAAGTCTCATTCATATACTTTATTGGTGCTTCAAGCATAGCATCCAACACACACTCATCTGAGAAATTTGAAGACACAAAGAATCGAATCGATTCTTCTCTCCATCGAGAAAAATCGTCAACTTCATAGATGCTTTTCTCAGGATACAACTAGATCAGAATGGATCTCAATGAACAAGAGAAGACGTCCTTCATGACTGAGCAGAGAACATACTGCTACCAGGTCATGCCATTTGGGCTAAAGAACGCACGAGCTACTTAACAGCGTCTAGTGAATCGCATGTTCCAGAACCAAATCAGGACATCAATAGGGGTGTACATCGACGACATGCTGGTGAAGTCATTGAAAGCGGAGTTCCATATCAGGCACCTTGAAGAGTCTTTCTAGATCCTCAAAAAGTACCAGATGAAACTCAACCTAGCCAAATGCGTCTTTGGGGTCTCTGCTGGAAAGTTCCTGGGCTTTATAGTCAATAGCCGAGGAATAAAAGTGAACCCATAGAAGGTTACAGTTGTAATAGACATGCAACTACCCGCAAACACAAGAGGTGTCCAATGCCTAACAGGGAGGATAGCAGCCTTAAGTCGTTTTGTCTCCAGGTCGAGCGACAAGTGTTAGCCTTTTTTTCCAAATCTTGAAGAAGACGTTCCAGTGGGATGCACAGTGCGAGGAGGCATTCAAGGCTCTTAAGAACTATATCAGCTCTCCCCCGATCCTTGTGAGCCCTAGAGAGGGAGATGTGCTCACCCTATACCTTATTGTCTCAGATTTCTCAACTAGCACAACATTGGTCAAAGAGCAAGACAGAACACATCAAAAAGTTTACTACTGTAACATAGCTCTAAGGGGGCAGAGGAGAGATATCTGAAGATGAAGAAGCTAGTATTTGCTCTGGTCACAACAACAAGAAGGCTCAAACCTTATTTCTAGATGCATACGATTGAGGTCCCTACAAACCAACCCATAAAGTAGATGTTGCACAAACCAGAGTCATCAGGGAGACTGGTCAAATGGGCAATATGGGGTAGGAAAGCTAAAGGAGGAGTAAATGGGAGGAACGTAGCTAAAACAATCCTTGAGAACCCTGGGATCAAGACTTCAGCGACCAAAGAGGAAAATCCTAGTACTTGTGTAAGGGTTGAAGAAGAGAGGAAGATAAGATAAAAAATGACCTTGACTCCTAAAGAAACAAAAACGAAAAGTCCTGAAGTGAAGCAACCACCTCGAGGGATCCAAAACGAATAGAGGACCAAAAGAAAAGAAGAATAGTAGAGCAAAAGACATACCTAGCTGAAAACAAGCAACAATCGAAAACCCAGTAAAAATTCGAGGAATGGACTAAGCTAGCCTCGCAGAATCTTTGAATCGAATTTGGGGATTTTATCAGCAAAGCCCTAGATTTCCAGCAAATTGCGGATGATGAAATTGCAAGTGAAGAAGGATATGAGTAAAATCAAGAGAAAGAATGTGAAGAGATTTCGAAGTAATAGAAAAGGTGATTTTTTCGTCTACTGAAGCATTTAAAGCCAAGCGTATGGACAAACACGTGGAGCCTTGAGTCAAGGGACGTGCGCGAGAAACAAGAAAAAAAATGAGTGCACGTTCGCCATAACAGTCAAAAACACGTCTCATCATGCGCATCTCAAGGTCGATCTCAGGCAACCTTCCTCACCCCAGCCATAACTCAATCCCAGCTTAAATAACTCTACCTGACCAGGGACCGGGGAACAACTGATGATACCTAGAATATGCTTAAGGTTGAGCTCAGTTTCTCAACTCAGCTTTCTCAAGTCAGGAGCTCAGTCGTACCAAGACTCTAACTCCAGACCTCGAGCTCCCTGAATCTGCACCTAAAGGAAGGTAGTATAAAAGATAGCTGGCATCCACCAAGCACCCCCTCGATAGCAACAGTCACTTATCCAGATACGAGATTCGTAACCACCCCAACACCCTCCCCAACTGTTGCACAGCATAAGCAGTCGTTATGAGAAAAAGGCAAGGATCTCGCTATAGATCTGACTAGATCCAAAATCAACTATAAATAAGAGGCAAAACGCTCGACAGAAACAAGCAATTGTTGCCTCACTAATATACTCTCTGTAAAGCCCCCCTGTTTTTAATATATTCTTCATGAGCAAGAAACTCCTTTGACAGTAAATTAGTCGAGTTTTCGAGTTGGTGAACCACTATACATCTTTTGTGTGATAATCTCATTCCGACGATCCTATTCATAAGAGCCTTGGAGCTCAGACAAAACTATTCAATGCATCGTATATTTTCCATTCAGCTCTGGCATGTTTTATACATCATCATATCTCAAGTAATGTGGTACAATTTTCATCATTAAATAAGTGAATCTTATTAATATTTAATGATGAAATTTATACCACATCAATTGAAATAAAAAATTTGATAAATATAACATTAACATTATTGCAGGATAACGCAAGCACTACAAGCAATTGTATCTCAATATGAAACTAACAATAGTGGTAGAAATTAAAATTTTAGGGGTCTAATGTGACATAATTATTAGTGTGAGAGGTCAATTTAGAAATTCAAAATTTATTCGGGAATAAAATAGCATTAACCCGAGAGAGATAGAAACAAAAGAGTTCTACGGCAGAGAGAGAGAGAGAGAGAAACAAAGAGGTCTACGGTTCTACCTTCTCCTTCATCTCACTTCTTGCTGAAAAGTCCCCTTCATATACTTTGTTTGTGCTTCAAGCATAGCATCCAAACAGACACTCATCTGAGAAATTTGAAGAACAAAGAATCGAATGGATTCTTCTCTCCATCGAGCAAAATCGTACTCAGAGATGGCGTACGTGGACCGCGCGTTCTCGATTTCGGACGAGGACATTATGATGGAGACATCGTACAGTGTAAACAATCGACCGCCGATCAAGGAAATCGCTCTCGCAGTCTCTCTCCTCGTCTTCGGAATTGTAGCAATCGTCCTTGGAATCTTCATGGCATTCAACAATGTCGGCGGTGACAGAGCTCACGGTACGATCACATATGCTTCTCTTAATTTGCAATATTAATTACTGTCAATTTGTTCGTATTATGGAATTTTTGGTTGATTAAATTCTTGTTTTTGGCGTTTGATAATGTGAATTTAGGTATATTCTTTGCGGTTCTTGGAGGGATTTTGTTCCTTCCGGGGTTCTACTATACGCGGATTGCGTACTACGCGTATAAGGGTTACAAAGGTTTCTCTTTCTCAAACATACCTCCTGTGTAGAGGTCGCATCTGACCCCGATACTCTTGCTACCGAACTCTTGGCTTTGATTTCATTTTTCTTTGGAATGTTTATTTTTATTGTTACAGTTGTTTTTACATACTTATATGGTGTACATAATGATACATGTTCAAGACAATTGTCTTTATTCTGTTTCTTCTTGTGATATTGGAAAAAATATATTCTTGTTGTGTGAGGATTGTGGATGTACTATTTACATACATGCAAATATACACACATCTATATGATAAGAGAGACACACAAAATGCGTGCGAATAACTACAACAGCGGGGAAACTTGAAGAGTTTTAGAGGTTTAGTGCTGCTAGGATAAGGTGCTTTAGCAAATTTTAACCTTCAGTGATAAGTATGGCTTTATTTGGCAATTTGGTTTGTAAACGTTCAGATAACCTTCCTGCCTAACTTAAAATAAGTAACACAAATTGCGTAGCATTAGATTATGCTATTCCATTTGATCAGTCGGTTCTTCGATTATTCTCATTCAACATTATTCTAGAGAAAACTTGTATGTACAATGCCACTGGGAAAAATACCAGACATTTTAAGTTTCCTATCTGAATTTTTTGAAATTAATAGCAGACACTACACTTGTCAAGCACACTATCTGATAAGTAACACAGTGGACTTTGGTTGCTTTTCAATGTTAAACGCATGCCTGTAAGAGAATTTGAAGAAACTAAATGTATCTAAGAACAATACAAGTATAATGCAATGTACTTTGCCGCCATCATGCTGATTTAGGAGGTCTTTGTGAATTCCCATAAGGTTGTGGTTAGGACATGATTTTGGGGGGGGGGGGGGGGGTGACCTGGGAGCTGAAGGAGCTTGTCTGTAGTTGGATTAGGCAATATTTTGTAGACTCTGAAGTCTTGCTGAGGCTTATGTCAGGCTTCACAACATAGAATCCCCACACAAATTGCGTTTTTGGTCTACATTACTGCTGAATGGTTGATTGTGGTGATTGGATCACTGCTTTTTTAATTTGAATAGGCCAGGAATAGGTCTTTTGGCCTTTGCGAGTAGGTCCTCCTTCAGTTCAATTAGGTAATCTTTGATTATCGTGTTTAATTAATTTTGTTTCATTTCTGGTTTTTTAGTTTGTGGTCTTCCTTTAGTTTCAGCTGGTAACTTTCAAATACAAACTCGTGTTTGACCACTCCAGTGGGCTGCAGAGACTAAGAAGTGCATAAACATTGTACTGGCGGGTATTCGTCACAAAGATTATTGTTTCTGTGGGAGATTCTCTTGGAGTTATGTTGTCTTCTATTCATCATTCATCTTTAAACGATTTGTGTGTACTAAATTCCAGGTTCACGAAATGTGCTTTTGCATTCTGAAGAACTATTAATGGAAGGAATGTAGCTAGGAAGGCTTTCTACGTCTTTCTTACCATTGGTCAATATGATTAGTATTTCTGTTGGAGATCTTCTTTGGAGTTTATGTGGCTTTTGCTTCTTTGCATGACAACCTATACTGGGAGAGGATTTCTGATCCCCTCCTGTTCATTAACTTCATGCAACCAACATTTGAGTCATCATTAGTAGTTTTCCAACTAAACTCCTTTACTTGAAGAACTCAGTATTTCTACTCTTCTTTAGGCCTTGACATTTGAATGTTTAACTGTCTAAGTTGTTGACACTTTACAGGAAACAGAAGTAATAATAATTTGCTGCCATCAAGAAATTCCAGCGAGATTCTAATGAGACCTTTGCAATCGATAACACAAAATTAACAATCTTCCAGAACCAGAATCCTCCATGTAATACGAAATGAATATGCCATTTTTCAATATTTTGATGGCACATTAGCCTGAAAAGTTAAGCTCATCATGACATCATGAGGTTTCCCCTCCTTTCATTTCAAGTTGTATCCTCTCTCCCTCCCTCTCCCTCTCCCCCCTTGCCCACCTCCCTCTGCAGCCAGAGACAACGAAGCTTGTTCCTCTGATTGTTGGATGAAGGTCGATTATGAGAATGGACATCTGATAGTCAGAGACATTGAACTCGAGTTGAATGATAGTGACATCTCAGCTTGAATGGCAATCACTTTCATCCAATTTGATTCTTGTAGATACAAATCATCGTTTTCTTTTACAGGATAAAAATTGGCATTGGTTTGGGTATGTTTGCTTTCACTGCAATTATTTGAAATCGCAAGGTTATACAGATGCCCCATTTGAAATTAGCTTATTTTATTGACTAAATCACTTGATGCAAGTATATTGCATGTTATAAAGGATTGGATAGTAAATCATATAATGGTTTTGAGTTTGTTAGAATCTTTTTTTTTCCCTGCTATATGCCAGATATGACTAACGCAGCACACGAGTTTGAACAGCTACTATTATACTGTAGACAGTAGAACAATTTTTTTTTTTAAACTTAACAAGTTTTTTCTGTAGCAGAATTTTTTTTTTGTCCTCTTACTGTCAATTTTCCATGTATTGTTCTACCTTTTTTTTTTTGGTCGGAGCAGGCATCATTGACATGTTCCAATTGAGCACTTCCCATTATCTTCCAATTATTTTCAAAAGGGAAGATTTTATAATTTTACGATCTTATAATGCTATTTTTAGATTTAAGGTAGGGATGTTGGGTATTATCTTATCAAGTACTAATACTTAAACGAAGGTAAAAAGCTTGTGGCACCTGGACCAGCATAGGTATCATGTGATCGTTCGTGGTTGCCGATGTAATGTGTCTTTTGTATTTGCAATTGCACATTCTCGGGGCACTGGGAAGGGGTGATGCCGGATGAGGCAGATAGGGGAGGGGGTGGTGGCTGAGTTTTTTATGGTCTTTGCTGGAATACCTTAGAGTCAGGAGAACTGCAGCTTGGTTGTGATGGGTCACATTGTCATATTTGTTTTTTTGTTGTTTCTGAGCAATGTACTGGCTGATGAAATACATGTAGAATTTGATTTAGTGGATAATGAACTACTGCGTACCCACAACACCCACCCCCACGTCCACCCCCACCCAAAAGAAGTGCCTGTAATCAACCTGTTGGGGGTGTTTGATATTTGACTGATATTGTTTGTTTTGCGATGGGGACATTTTATTTGTGACATGGTAATGGGATGTGCCTACAGTGTTTTGACAAGTTGATTTTTTAGTGTTTATATGAACTTTTTCTTGTTGATCTTTGAGGTTTAACTAGGGTGAAATTAATTAAAGAAGTGATTAGTTTGGGATTTTATAGTTGATATGATTTTACCACGAAGATTAATGATCTGTTTGGTAAGGTGGATGGAAAATTGGCAGTGATATGTTTTTTATCTTTCAAGGTATGAATTATTTATTCCCTTCTTTGTTTTTGGTAAAAAGAATAGAAAGTAGAAAGAATTGTTTTTTTTTCTTTTTGTGTTTGATGAGATGGAAAAAAATATTTTTTAATTATTATTTGATTTTTTTTGAAAAAAATATAAATATATATTTTGTCATTATAAAATTAATATATACATAATATATAATTAATAAATATGATATATGTATATATCACAAGATATATAGACAAATAATATATATTTCAACAAATATAATTAATTTTTTATCTATTTTTTTTAATTTGAAATGAATTAATTTTGGTGAGTTGAATCGAAAGTTTATTTATCTATTTTTTTATTTTTTTATTTTTATTTTATCAAATATAATATTTTATCTATTTTTTATTTTTTTCATTTTACCAAATGAATCATAAGGGATCAATTTTTTTCAAACTGAAGATTAATTTCTTTTGTACTACTCTTTTTGGTTCAATTACGCCCATTTTTCTGATACATCGAAAAAGAACACAACAACAATGGAAAACACAGGAGCATCGCTAACATTTGTTAGCTATACTCTTATCTTGTGCTCTTCTCGATAATCCTCATCCTCTAATGATCAACTCATGTCGTACACTGGCTCCACTGATAAAGGTTTGGATCTAGCTCCCACTTGGAACGCTTGCTTGATTTGTGTACCACGGATTGAACCGATACACCATCGATCCTTTGAACTCCACCCTCATTAACTTTAAGGCATTCACCAGAATTGAGTGTTAGAAACTCCTTAACTACTATCGGGGTCATCATCACAGGGCGTTCGTTAAGATTTCTGTGTGCGTTAGATCTTATACAATATAAACACGAAAACAGATCTCTCATTTGGTGAACTCAAGTGAGTCAGTCGAATGGTCAACCCTGCTGCTTGGGACAGCCTGTGAGGTCCGGTAGTAACCTGGAACGGTAATGGGAGACCCTCGTGAATCAATGGAACGATCCAGTAAGGCTGAGGAAGGTGCCTGGAACAAAGAAAGACAAGTTAGAAGGGCGTCGGAGTGTTTTCCGGGGTATCCCCTCCGACGATCAAGTCAGTTTTTGAGCGAGAGAAAGAAGAAAACACTGAGTATATATTGTAGCAAAGGTTTTTGTTGCATACCGACTTGCCTTTTGCGGGGAGTATTTATACCTTAAATACTCATGATTGCTATCAGTGTGGTCAGTAGGTGATCATTAGATACAGGTAACGTGCGCACTGATTCCTACGAGGAATGTCTTCTCTTTTAACTGCTTGGGATCCCGAGCAACCAAGGCTGTGTCATCGGTATGTCGACTGTTCAATGAGCTCCTCTCGAGGAGGATGCAATAAATGTCCAGCCTTAGAGACATTTATTGTCTTTCACTTCCGAGCCTTACCGCATTGAATGCAGTCTCATCAAGGGAATGATGTAATTAAATGCTTGCTTTCCCAAGTCGTGTGTCAGCAAGGACATGCGGTCTTTCTGTCTCTGATGTGACACAATATGCCACGCATCCATTCCCCATTGGCTGTGGCCCCTGCCTTCCTGTGCCTTCTGACATCAATTGTGTAAGACGAGGTCATGATAGCTAACCTAGCCTAGTCTAGGCTAGTGACCTATACATCAGTAGCTTTGCAGGAGAAGAGAATGTCATCCTGGACATTTGGTATATATCGGTACCGAGGGGGGATTGGTACATATAGTGACCGATGTACCCATATCAGACCGAGGGATACGTGTCGGTACATAAACGTACTGGATGCCACTTGATCCCTATGACAAATACCTCGGGGGAGAGGGACTTGTGAACCGATGGGTACGTGATCTCAGTAACAAGGATTAGTAACACTGAGGACACGTGTCTTCATCTTGGAGTATTTCGGAAATGTCCCATCAACTGTCCCCCAGCCTGCGATCTTCTGCCACCGAGGACACACGTTGTAAGGAGAAGAAGGGTTTTGCAACAACCCCAACTGCTTCATCATTGCCCCTAGCCGTTTTCCCCTGCTTAGGACGTCGTGCGCATTAAATGAGTCTTTTTCGTGCTTCGAGCCCAATGATGGGATTGATACTATATATAATTGGGCTTCCTCTCCTCTTTTTCTCATTTCGTCATTCCGAATTTCTCCAGAGAACCCCTGCCTGAATCTTCGCCGGAGACCTCTTTCCTTCCGTTGTCAACTGCCCAACCTTTTCACTGAAGTTTTAAGGCCAGCAGACCCATCCTTGCTTCTGAACATTCTGGAAGGAGTCGATTCAAGTTTTCCAGAAAAAACTTCTTTTTACATTCTGGTGAGTCCCAATATCTTCCCTTTCTTCGCCCTTCTGTCTCTTTTGGTTTTCTGATAACGGGAGGTATTTTCTGGTTGTCATTCAGAGACCAATCCTCGGGAAGCCTCCTTGGGGATCTTCGTGGAAAAGACCCCCTCCATTTATTATCACTTTTTGGAGATGCC